AAGGACAAAAAATGATAAAAAATAAAAAATAAAAATAAACAGGCGCACACACACATGAAACCACTGCTGTGGCACATGCAAAGTCGCACAGAGGAGTTCACACTGCAGCGTCACGACATGATAATTAATTGTAATCAAAGATTCTGTATGGCTTTTGGAGTCCAGGTGCAGCAGCTGATAAAAGAAACAGGATCCTCAAACCACTGTTGGTATCATGATGTGTTCACATGTCTTTCGAATATTTCTCGTGTAGTTCTCATACGTAGTCTCATCTTCCTTCCTGACTCACCTATCATTTACTGCCTTTTTAAAGGTAGGTTTTACATCTCCATCAACACAATTTAGATCAGGAGACAGGCTTCAATCCAGACTTTCAGGGCAAATTCGGCAAATCCAGGGAGAATGTCCGAGCTACTCGATACACATTCTCCCCATATGTGAATCAAATCAAGGTCTTTTGTGTGCAAGAGCGAAGCACCAAATCACTACATCATAGACACAGGTAGCATCCTTCGTGACTCACGGATGATTCACTCTCTTTCGGTTCAAGTTAAGAACCACGATGAGACTCCAAGGGCTGCACGCTGAATGAGCTCAGGTTCACAACATTGTCAAGCACGTGTCGGTGATACAGCATTTAGGTGGGTGGTTAGTGCGAAGTTTCTCTTGTATCCAGCCACAAACTGACGCACATTAAGGCAAGATGTGAAGAGCGAAGCATAATAACTTGTTCTTTGTTGCAGTGTTGCGCAAAACCTTCTTGGAAAAATGCCACAATAGCAGCAATGTCGTTTGTAGGCTTGACCAGTCAGTTAAAACCAGCCAGAATGGCTCAGAAGAGAACAGTTTGTGGGTTTTTTTCCAATCACAACACTTACGGCAAGAACATAGTCTGCAGGGTTAACCAATTAAAAACCTTTTTATAAAAACCAAGAAGCGGGCATATAGTTCCACAGTTTAAATCGCCTCTGTGGTCAAGGATCGCATACATGTCTGTAGTGTGACTAGTCAAAAACTTTTGACAATAGTTGCGTAACCATCGCAGCATTGTTGGTTTGACCAGATGTGGGCTTGAATGATCCAAACTGTCACAAAACTAACATAGCCTGTAAGCTTGACCAAAGGTCAAGAAACTGTCTCAAAGTCTAAGGACTACAGATGCTGGCAGAAGCCCTGCAATCCCCACTGGGCAGACCCAGGAATAGACGCCCGTTCCCACAGAGACACAGCTGGAAGACCTGTGCTACGGCAGGCGTGAAGGAGGAGTAGGATGGCGGGGAGTAGGGGCGGGAGGGGGCCGAGGATGATGACGTAGTGCTGTTGGCGCCTGGGAGGCCTTTGATGACCACGTCCTGGCTACGTAGGTGGATCTGGGGAGGAAAGGGATGGGGTAGGGAGTGGATGGGGTTAGAAAATTACGTGAGTTAAGATAGTGTACAATATGAGGATAAACTAACAATGTTCTTACTTTGAGTGCGGTATGTTTTAAAGGGTATAATCTTTTTACAGTTTGATCTTCACAAAGAACCCCCCTCTCTCTCTGTGACTGTCTGTCTGTCTGTCTGTCTGTCTGTCTGTCTGTCTGTCTGTCTGTCTGTCTG